CTGCACACTGAACCTCATAAAAATAAATTTACTATACCCTACACTTTAGATATATAATAAGTTATGAACCAATAATATTCATAAAGAAATTAAACGGCCTGTAATCTTTTTTAACCTTTTGATTTGGAAAACTGTTTTTAATATTCAATAATTAATTTTCATTTATAATTTACTAGATTTTGAAATTTTTTTCATGAAACAAGTGTTTTAAAAAAAGAAATAACTGATAAATACTTTTCTCGCTATCTTCTTCTTTTTTATGTGGCTACAAAAGTGTAAATCATCTTAAGTTAAGTTGCAAGTAGTAAGAAATGAACTTCATATATATTTTCTTTATTTTTTTAAAACAACTAAAAATAAGATGGGTGTGTGCTTCTCTCCCTCTTTTGGTCTTTATGGAAAATCAATTATATATATAGATTTCAAGTTTATTTTGTGTTACAAAATATATATATTAAGTTTAATACTCATACACTAATTTACATCATTAATCAATGAAAAGATATTGTTAATATATATAATTTTTAAAGTATTTATTGAAAAAGTCAACAAATTGTTATATATAATGATTTATGATTAGATAATAATATAGTTTTTTTTCTCTCATTGATGCATTTCCTTGAACATTTAAAAAAGATAAATATGTTCCTACAACCCAATTTTACAAATTTTTTTTATATAATCAGGGAAGTAAAAACAAGTGTAAATTAAAATAAATAATGTCTAACAAAAAGATAAAATAAAAAAAAAATGAATGATATAAAATTCTATAAAAATAGCAATACTCTATTTGTTTAAATAGTGCTGTGTTCTCCCTAATTGAAAGTCTCAGTATGCATCTCAATCCTTAGAGTGTAACTTATATACCTATTATGCAACTTTACTTGATGTTATTGGTTTTAAGATATGAAATATAACATGGCATCATGTTAAAAGGAAACATACCATGTCATCGGTAACATGTTTATGTCATCGACGGTCTTCTTTCCTTTGTTTTGGATTATGCCTCTCATTATGAGCATCTTTTTCATGTCACCTAATTATAACTATGTTTCTTTATCTTTTCCTTTCTTATATTAGAAAAAGAATAAGGTAGTGTTTGTTTCGGGGGAAGTACTGTTTACGAGCAATGAAAGACGATGAAAGTATGTGTTTGTTTCCCGTGATTTGGAACGAAGGAAAGACGAAGAAAAGGGAGGAGAAGCACTGTTGCTCTCCTCGCACAAAACCGAAGAAAGGAGTTGAAAGACACGTAGGATTTGTGAAAACCCGAAAATGCCCCTCCCATGCATGTGCCATGCAGCATAGGATAATCGATTATGGTTGACAGAATTTCGACGCTGGTGGTTGGTGTTGCTCACTGATTCTCCACGTTCTCCACGGGCTGGTGACTCATTCTCGATGTTACGTGGCTGGTGGTGGCTGCTGGTGCGTGGCTGGTGGTGGCTGGTGGGTGTTGGTGGTGAGTGATTGTGGAAGGAGCTCCTCCATTGAAGGTAAGTTTGATCTCATTTGTATATACGAAGGAGCATAATCGATTATGGTTGGCCACATAATCGATTATGGCCTTGTATAATCGATTATGGGTGAGGCATAATCGATTATGCAGGGTATTTTCGCTGCCAGTGGAACCCGGAACAGCCCCGGAATGGCCCGTTCCAAAATTGTATTTTATGAGAAATATGCGAAATCAGAACGGGGCGTTCCACTTTTGGAACGGACCATTCCACTTTTGGAACGGGCCGTTCCAGGTATGTCAATGAGACATAGCAAATGAGTTCAGAACGGCCGTTCTGGATTCGGAACGGGCCGTTTTGGGGTCATTAATTTGTTATTAATGATGGTTATTTAATACCGTTTATATATATATATATATATATAATATTAATATTTAATATATAATATATAATACCTTAAATTA